TGTAGTAAAGCTTGTGTATCGTTCTCAGAGACACTGTTTATGTATAAGGGGTGGAAGTACAGTTGTGGGGTGTCTAGCATGTGTGGTGTGTTAGTGTTCTCTGACAGCACTTTGCTCAGCTGTGTAAATGGCATGAATGTTCTCCCTTTTCTTTTGCCACCGGTCTTTGGATTGCTCATGGCCTTGTGACTTTATTCCTGGGTGAGAGTGGCATACAGCCTTCAAGTATTTGTATTTTGCCACAGGCTTCACACTTAGCTCCATAAGCTGGGCACAAAGATCTTGGAGTTAGGTTATGAAGACTTCCACAGTTTCCACACCTTTCATCTTTAGCTTGGTTTTCCTGTATTGAACGCTGTCTTGTGTGTGGACCCTGCCTCAGGGCATTGACTGCTGTAGTTTGAATGCCTCTGATATCCTTTAACTGGTTACTTGTAGCCTCTTGGTTTCTTGCAATATTTGTTGCTTTGTCAAGTGTCAAGGTGTCATCATGTTCAAGAAATTTTGACTGCACAAGTGGATTATTTGATCCAAAGATTAAGGCATCAGTGATGTGTTGTCAGGGTGTGTGTACTTACATTCTTTTACTACGATACCGACTTTCTTGAGGAAGGAGGCGGCTGTTTCGCTCGACTCTTGCTTATGCAAAGTTTGTAACGGGCAAGTCTGAAATTACTTCTTGGCGCCACATAGTTTTCAAAGTTTGCCCAGTATGTGTTGAGTTCCTTCTTTTCATGGGCTGTTAGCGTCCATGTGGAAGCTAGTTCTCAGCTTTCGTCGCCTCACCAAATCAACAAAAAACTTATCTGTTCTTCCTCGCTCTTTCCCTTCAACAGGCCGGAGAAGTACAGCTGGCAGAGATCTTTGAATTTTCTGAGAGCTTGCGGTGTGTCCAATGACAACCCGTCCATACAGAGAATTGGTGATCTGGCTAGCTCTGCCATGGTTTCATTTTATTGAGGTTGATCAAGGGCGTGGATATGCACCGGCTTGGTGCTCAAAATTCTCTTTGAAAATCAGAGGATCCTACTTCTGACACCATGTTGTAGTATCGAGTCAGGATGGACAAGATTTAACGAGATTAAAGGCAATAAACACAACAACTTTTTATTACAGCAAGCGAGTTCTACACAAGGATTCTGATGCACATGCGTGCATGTATAAAACCGCATGCAAACTATGACACTTACTATTGGTATACTTTAGCGTTGTAAATCTAACTGATGGAATTACAACTACTAAGTGTAGGTACACTTGCGAACACCATTGCAGATACCATAAATATAAACTGACCTGATCTAGCTGTATCTGTCTCCTCCATTCATCTTAGTTGTCCAGTATGCTGTTGTTTGCTTCTTGTTTGCCTGATTATCTAAATTAGCAACCTCTAAATTAGTTACATGAACTTTATCTAAATTAGTTATCTGGTGTTTCTTGAGAGGGAACCTAAGCCTACAAGCCCCGTGGTTTTTATTAGGTTCCCTCATCATTTTTTTTAGAACTATCCTTTAATGATTATATAAATTGTAGTTTTGTGTCTTAATTGTAATTAATCTTTAATAATTAATTTTTGTTCACAATTTATTAACCATTGTATTTGAATTCTATTTTTGTTTGTGTGGCAAATCAAAAAAACAAAAATAAAACAAATAAATCATAAATGAAAAAATTCAATGAAAAGCCTATCAATATCTGTTTATTTTTGAGTAAACATTATTAAATGCAACATTGTCACTAGCAAATTAAAAATGCTATGTTTACTTAGTAAAAGTGATCATTTTAACAGCAGTTTTATTACATTTTTCCAGCAACCCATAGTGCATTGCCTTCTCCAGGTAAATAACCTCATCGTTCAACACATCAAGATTATCTACATGTAGTGTTCTTTTGAGTGAGGTTTTATTAGTTAAAAACTGAATGTAATTAGTGAAGTCAATGTTCCAAGCTTTTGCAGATTGACAACATCATTGACTTGACTTGACTAAATACAGCAGTTCACCACCCCATGTGAAAGAACACTATATTATGCAAAATGCTACTGAAGAACAACCTTCAATGCTTACATCAAGATAAGTTAACACTTTAATACAGGAGTCCTGGGATCTTTCCACTAAGACAACAGTATCATGTTCAATAACGGTGTCATCCCCTTTGTCAATTCTCAACAGAAAGAATCCCAACTAGTACTACGTATACTGATGCTATTGCAGTGCTTTTAACTACTATTAATAATGTAGAGTTGCCAACGCCCATATATACACACAAAATTACCTTTTAATAGCTTTCTCTGACTTCCATCATTCCTCTTTCAGTACTCCAGACGGCCTGCCACTTTATGTCAATGTGCTTTGTATAATGTTTACCTGAAAAGTAATACAGACATCAAGTGACATACATGTACTCTCTATTTTTTCAAGTAGGATATCCAGCATTAGGTGCACAATGTTCAAACAGTCAACCAATTAATCAATCAATCACTCAAGTAAATTTACAACAAACCAATGGAAAGTTTAAATTCAAATAACTGGTAGCCCATTTTTCAGATTATTGTTGGGGGGGAAGGGAACAAATTCCAAAAAAGAAAGAGAAAAATGGTTGAGGAGGGAAAAATGTCAAACAGGCATGAAAAACAAAAATCCCTGCATGGCTTGAAGGAGGGCCACTAATAGTATGCAGTTAAAATAAACTATGAGTAGTCCCTCATTCACCTAAGTCTCTTGTGCGTGATGCAAAAGAAAACCCCAAGGAAAAAATGACCACGTGAAATCCTGGCACAAGAAGCGCAAGAGAGGAGAGACTACCGACAAAGCCAGAGAGTGTGAATTATGTGTTATTCTCGTTATGCAAAAGAATGATTGGCTTATGCCAAAAAGAAGGACATCACCAATCAAGATACAAATGACGTTTTGTAGGAATGTTTACCTTGCTTTCCAAAACTGGAGCAAACAGAAGCACTGGAATTGTGTCTCATGGGCCATGAAGTTGTGGCGATTCTGCCAACAGGCTTTGGAAAGAATTTAATTTATCAAGTGTTTTGTTTAGCAAAGCTATCCGTTTTGAACCCAAATGCAAATGTGTTAGTGATTTGGCCGCTTAACATTGAAGAGCAAGTCAGTGAACTGACTGACAGAGCAGGGAGTGAAAGAGAGTGATGCAGAATGCATGATAGGGTTGACCTCTCTGCCTTTGCTGGTACTCCCTCATTGTGATTCTGCCTACAGGCTTTGGAAAGAATTTAATTTTATCAGTTGTTTTGTTTGGCCAAGCTTTCTGTTTCAAACCTGAATGCAGGTGTGTTAGTGATTTGGTCGCTTAACACTGAAGAGCAAGTCAGTGAATTGACTGACAGAGCAGGGAGTGAAAGAGAATGACGCAGAATGCATGATAGGATTGATTTCTCTGCCTTTGTCAATACTCCCTCCTTTCACATGCTTCTCATGGCTTCTCACCCCCAGTATTTTGCCTAATACCATTCTTTTCTAACGGTTTCCTTTTGCGTCACCCACAACAAACTAGGTGAAAGAGTGATTACTCATGGTCTAGTTACAATTCATGAACCCCTTCCATCAATGATCTACTGTGAAGGCCAATCCGAAATTGTACATGTACTTTTCATCCTTTACCCCCTAGGACAAATGGTAGTTTTTCCCAAATCAGCAAGTAAAGACTCCCTGCCTGTGTACAAATATATACCATTTGAAAGCTGCTGATCAGCTTATTTAAGAACTGACATCAGTTATGAAAGAGGTAGTCATTTTGACAGAAATTGTTCTAAAACGTGAAACTGAAAAGCTTCCAACACGGATCAATTCTCAAATATCATAGGTATGCCCCTGAACTATAGCTTATTTAGCAGGTCTTAGTGCATAGCTTGATGTGAAACAAGTCTTACATTCCATGTGCATCTCAAAAAAAAATTGGAAATTAATGGAGGTGGTCAACCATACCTTAGATAAGAGGGGGTCACAATTTTATGCCTTCAATGAGCAGATCTTTACAAGGCAATTTTCGTGGCAAAATTTCATAGAAATCTCTCAAATGTTAACAAAGTTGTGACGTTGTCTGCCAAATGGCACTCTTAGAGAGTAAAGGGTTAAACCAAGGGCTCTTTGCTCGGGCTACATGCACAAGCAATTTCCAGTAACTTTCTGATAACAATAAGAACTGAATTGAGTATTAACAATAATATTTGCAGGGCTAGGACAGAAAATCTAAAAGTAAAACTCACTGTCAGAGTGGATACGTAACCACTGCATACTCCACATTATCAGCTTCTGTTTCATCGTTACAAATTTGACTTCTGATAAATGCAGCTTGGAAGCTTGTTAACTCCTGGGGAGGGGTGCTTGCTTATATCAGCTATATGAGAGAAGATAAAGATAAGATAACTTTACTTATACATGGTTTTTCCACCCGTCAAAAAAGTTACAGGACTATCTACCTATCTGCCTAACTACAATAAAAAAAATGCTTTTCATGGAGGCCGTGTCTAAAAAGTTACTTAAAATTAAGATATTACTTTTAACTGTGGTAATTTAATTTAGATTTGAAATCAGTCAGTGAAGATGCTTGTTTTAGGTCTATAAGTAAGTTGTGCCACAACTGAGGTCCGCTGTACGAAAACCTTCTCTTAAGATAATCAGTTCAAGCTTGAGGAAGAACTAGTTTGTTTTCGGTATTCCTTAAACGATAAGCAGTTACGTTGTCATACAGGTATGCACAGCCCCAAATGCTATGGTTTTTTAGCTATTTTGCCCAGAAATAGGGTAACGATATTGGCCTTTGGTCTCAAATATGGTATGGTTTTTGCATTCTAGTCTTGCATTGGCTATGTGTTTTTAGAAGGAGCTACTCTTTCATCAAAAAAGCCCTTCACAATTTGACTTAAACAGTGGTCTGAAATAGGGAACTAATTACCACACTGTGTGACACAGGTCTGAAACAGGGTATTGATTTAACGGTCAGGTCTTAAATAAGGTACGGACTTTTTTTCATGTCATAAATAGTGTAGGGAGAATTGCAGATTTTAGTTTTAAAAAGGGTAAGGCTTTTGGGAAGCAGGACGCACACCACCACCCAATTGTTGTGGGAGCACCCCCTCCCCCCCCCNCGGTATGCTTGCACTAAATGTGCGAAGAATTATGCTTCATGTGACTTTTCATGAAACACTAGTACAAGAAGAAAAGTTGGTCGCCATCAAATTAAGTTGAGGGTGGCAAAGGGTGGGGGGAGGGGTATCAATCACGCATCACACTGAATTTTTCTATTAAATGACGTCAGACTGCAAATTTTTTCACCAATCATGCACCACGTAAAAAGAAGTAAGTACATCGCCAATTTTATTTTCTTAACCCTAAATCACGCATCACGCTGCTAATTTTGGGGCGATCACGCGTCACGCAAATACCCTTTGCCACCCTCTAAGTTGACAATTGTGAAATCATAGAAATTATGACCTGAAACCATCTAAGATTTTAATTTCCTTCACGAGATATCGATTTATCTTGGCTAAATAAACGTCACAAAGCATGCAAAAGGTTTTCATTGTACATGTACATAACATGGCTTACCGAGGATGCTGTGAGACAACATCTTGATGTCGCTTGCTGTTTCTGGCTCTTGAATTGAGCGAATTTCCCTCTAGTGTTTGTTCCACCAGCAAAGGTTTGTGTCTTGCACAAGTTTGGGAACATTTCTTGCAATATAGACTAGGCACTAGGCAAAGTTTGAAAGAAAAAGCCGAACTTCCAAGCACCTCGTGGGAAGAAGGAGCGAAAAATTACTTGCAATGCAAATTCAAGTTGAGTCCCAGGGCCGCCTGTCTTTCTTAGCCCGCGGGGCCTTGGCGCGAAGGAAAGGAGGCCCTGGAGAAGCTCTGGAGACAAATGATTCAACGCGGGCACTGATTTCATTCTCAAAAATATCTACATGTTGATCTCTAACTAGCTAAACCTTTGCATTAGTGCTTCTACGTTTTAACAATGGGAGCATGTATATGATTTATTATGGAGGAATTTACCAAAACTTTCTCCTCGTAAGCCATTTTTTACTTGGGCTTTTATTTTGTTCATGTCCGAGCCCTCGGTTCACGCAATTCGCTTACGTTTAAATTATGACAACAAATAACAGGTTGAAAACATTGAAGTGACGGGTTTCAGTCACGCAGAAAATCTAAAGACGACAATGAGTGGATTAAAAAACCTCTAAAGCGCATTTTCTTCGAATAAGCGAACAGGCATAACTGACAAAAATTAATTGTCAGGTCTATGGTCAAAATCTTACCGTATAGATACCATGGACCAGATCAGGGCATCAAGCTAGATCGAATTGCATTCATAATGCCGCGACCGGAGGTGTAACGCTTGCATTGTGTTTTCTTTTAAAAGGTTTTGAGCAGCATTGACCTGTTCAACCTCAAGAAAGTCACGCAAAACAATGTTGAGCGAAAATTCGACGAATTTTGCAAGGTACATGAGGAGAAGCTTTAGGGCCTCACAAGGAATTCTTCTTTTCCTTTCACTTACAAAGATACACTTGTAAACATTTCGTCTTACAAACTGTCTGGAGAAGAACTTGACAATTTGAAATTTCAGGTCTTACGTTTTCCATAAAACCACCGCATCTAAACAAAAGTCACGTTTTCACTACATTTGAACTTCTTCACCAAGATCTTAAGAGACATCTCGAGGACAAGAGCAAATCTAATGAAGTAAGAAGTGAAATCCAGCATTTGGCAACCACTTATGTCAACTCTGTTCAAGCCTTCACTAAGTGACTTAAAGAAACTTAAAATATTGAAAAAACTCAAAAAGAACAAAAACATCATTATCCTAACACCTGATAAAGGTAATGGTGTTGTATAGTGCTCGATAAAATAGTCAATTAGCAATTAGTCAGTGGCTGATCCAGACCTTCGGCTTAAGGGAGTGGGGCCGCTTTTTTTGCATTCCTTGCCGGCTTTCTTCCTTGTTCGATTTCTTCTTCGTTTTTTTCTTTTTTTTTTTACCCAAATTAAAGGGAGGTGGGTCAGGTCCCCCGGGCCCCTTCCCTATATCCGCCACTGTTAGTGATTTGTTGAATGACCTAACTCTAAATTTAAGAAATGGCAATCTGATTTAACATGATTACGTAGGGAAAGTCAGTTACAACGGTATTTTCGTAAGCTAAAGAAAAATGGTCTGGTACGTTACCGGGATATTTATCTCACCGGTTCTCAACCAGCTAGGTTATATGGTTTTCCTAAATTACATTAAGTCAAAGATTGAAGATCAACTGTTCCTCCTTTTAGACCTATTGTCTCCTCCATAGGCACTTATAACTAAAACTTAGTAAAGTATCTTTTTTGTTTACTTAAGCCCCACATCTCGTCAGAGTTTTCTTACTGCAGATACTTTCTCTTTTGTTAGGGAAATTCAAGATGTAAGTTTCAGTGAAATATTTTTGGTTTCAGATGATGTTACTAATCTTTTTCCAAATATTCCTTTAACTGAAATCAGTCACTGATTTACTGTCAATGCTATTTTTCAAAAAGGAAGGTAACGTTGGGTCAGACCTCAAACTCAACAAATTTCAACTTAAGGAACTTTTTAATTTTGCTTCTAGCCACACTCATTCAACGATTGCTTTTGCGATCAAATAGGTGGAGTAGCTATGGGTTCCCCTTTAGCACCCGGGTAAGCCAACGAAGAGGAACTTTGAGAAGAACTGTGGCAGTTACTGAGTGCAAACACTTTTTATTTCGCCATCAAAACGAGGAGTTCGGTCAATCATTGATATATTCAGGGCAGCCACATATAGAACTCGACTGCCTATTTCTTTTTAATGAGCCGAGTGGATTTAGACCTACTTGAATACTTCTTCGTTTCTTTAATTTTCCGAAATCGACTTTTGTTAGCATTAGATGAGTCACTTCTAACTGCGTTTCGGTACTTCGGCTCACGAATATTTTGGTTTGACGTTATGGATTGATAAGCGGTGATACTGATGTTTCCTATCCAACCAGCTAGAATTTATAAACCCCCTTTGAGCTTGACGGACCGACGAGCAAACGTCTCGATGACTCGAAGAATCTTCACATTCAATCTCGACACACATAGTCACACATTTAGCCTTCCAAACAGCTGTACACTACTGCGCAATGACTTGGTAACACGTGCTGACTGCAACGAGTATCAATCACATCGGAACGAAGGAGAATATTTCAACGGATATATTACCAACGTAGTCGATGCGTCGGAAAATCGATATTGGTCGTTGCCATATCGATTTGTTTTCAGCTGAGTGAGTTACAATTTGGCATATCCTGAAAAAAAAAATCGATATTGGTCGTTGACATATCGATTAGTTTACACCCGAGTGAGTGACAAATTTAAAATGTCAATAACAATAACAAAAACAATCTTTATTTGTATTCTCTCTTGCTGAAAAACTAATTGCAGAAAATATGGATAATAACATTAGAGTTCTGGCTGCCTGGAATAACCATAGGGGCTAGCGAAGCCAGGCAGCCAATTGACATCAACGTTAAATGAAAATAAATTACAGGTCAGCAAGGAAGCACACATAAGTAGAATGGAAAAGAAGAGGAAAAAAACGCTATCACTAGGCTATTAGGGAAGTCTGAAATACTTAAATTTATATATGAGTATAGCCTATTAATACAAGAGAAGCACGCAATTCTATAGATGTGACAACTAATAACACCTAACAATATTATATACATATTTATAAACTATAGAAGAACATATAATAAGGCTGAGAAAGGTGACACAATTTAACGAAAGGCTAATTTACCATTAGTCTAATTTACCATTAGGGAAATGACACAACTGCAATCTAAAACAATGTGACTTCATATATAACTATGATGTAACTAATAATCTTTAACACGACCGCTTTTTACTGATTTTTTGAAGTTTGATAGTCGTTTATATGCTACGCGTACGGCCACGACTAAAAAAACTGCTTCTTCAGAGGCACTATGATCCTAGTGATATCGGATCACTGATCCTGATACGGGTAATCCTGAAGGAACCCAATCTTGGTAAATCTGTCCATTTTCTGATGTTTCACTGCCCTTACCGATAAAGTTGATAACTTCCGGTAAAATCGATAAGAATAACAGTAAAAATCAACACTAACAGAGTATCTCTTTATAAATTTCCGAAACAATTTATCGATTTCAATTGATTTTTATCGATTATCAACTTTGTCGATTCAATACGCTGGCAGCAATGACACGAGGCATCCCAAAGGGCGTGTGAAATAAGAGCTGAACAAACCGGATGCTCTCGCAAACTATCATTAAACGTACTAATAGCAATGAAATCCTAGACAACTTCCTGTCTTCTACGTTGCTTAAAAGGAACACAACTGCATTAGAGGCGCACACTTGGATTACAACAGCATGGAGAAGAGAGTTATGTTACTCCAGGCTTCCATTTCTTTGCTTTTGTTGATGTCTCTAGAGACATCAACCGGCAACCAGCTTTTCTCGTCGCTGCAGTTTACTCGCGACACCCTCATGGGCTTTTCTCGTGGCTCTGAACGAACCGTGGAAATTCTTACGCCAGAGAAGGAGACGAAAACGTTAACATTTCCCAGGCCTACTGCCTCGAAGACAAAAGTTAAACTCACGTTTCACAAGCGAGTAGAGATGAAACGTCTCGGAATAGAGATGACCAGGGTACATGTACCTGTAGCTTCAAAAGACAGTAGACATGCCATACGTCCACATCCAGGACCAAAAGCGACATCGAGGCCAGTGACGGAGACGGTCATCAGATACCAGAAGAAACGCAAGACCTACAGACCGCGCACATCTCCATCTAACAAGTTTCTAGAAGCCATCAATGGCATCGAACGAGCAGTGGCGAACGCACGAGCGTCGGGCGTGCGTTACAGCGAAGCTACTTTGGCTAAACTGAAAAGAATTTTGGTGACAGCCATCAGAAGTAAGAGCTATAAATACGCACGGGAGGTTTTGGGACAGATCATGTATCTTTTGAGCACCAAGACTTCGCCTCCGGGGCGAAGAAAGCGAAGCTCGCAAAATGAAGGTGGTGAATTTCTTCAGGGCCTTCGTCAACAAGTTGGCAGCTCGACGTTCGATAGCTTCATGGCTGTTCAAGGCGACGTTTCGCTCATGTTTGTAATTGATGACACCGGAAGCATGGGAAATGAAATTCAGGCGACGAAGAACATCGCGATTGATATCATCAATTATCCACGCCAAGCTCCTGTGGAGTACATTTTGTCACCTTTTAATGATCCTTACCCAGGTACGTGAATCCAGAAAGTTCTATTCATTTCGTCATTGACCTAAATTATCGGAGAACGTAATCCGATTAGTAGAAATATGTAGTGGGGGAGGAATTAAAGCGGGTTTTTATTTTTTTATTCTTTATTTTTTTTTTTTTTAAATCACATTTCGCAATCTTGCACTGTGTTTAACATTAAGCGAAAAACATTAGGTGAAAAACATTAAGTGAAAGAGGTCTAAAAACCAGACGACTTCTTCTGTGTTTTTCTCTTGAGACATTTATTTTTTATGAACATTTTACTCAAAGGAATGCAAAATTGGCCGCCAATCAGTGTTTTTGCA